AAGTCAACCCTGTTGCAATCTGTGAGCCAAAGAAAGTTCCACAACCAGCTCTAAAGACAAGCAGTGGAGGATTCCACCTCCAATGAAGAGGCACAGCACAAGGATGCTGTAAGGCATGCCTGATGGGCAAGAAATGAATTATAACTATTTTTATAATTGGTGTTGGAAATAGAACCCAGGCCTTTGACATGCTAAGCAATGGTTTACCATGAGCTGCATCCTCTGTGTGATTAATAAACCTTCACGTTCTATTTCAGGTAAAGATGCTTTCTCACTGGATTGAGAAGTGAGTACTTCTCAGAACATTTTTCTAAGTTTTTTTTTTTTTTTGCTTCAAAAATTCCTTTCTTACCCATTTTGACAGTTCAAATTTTGTCTCCCCTGCAAGGTCTGTCTTCAGAAAGCCTGAGTCCATGAGATCTTTCCCTTGCCCTTTGCAGGGCTGGGGGGTGGGAGAATGTGTTTTCTTACCCTTAAGGGGGTGAGATGCTGCTACCAAATCTATGAAGTCTATCAATTCTGAACCATTTGTGACCATAGGTATAGTTACATGCAATTGAAAACAATCTTTTTCATCTTAGTATATAAAATGACTGTAATTTAGGGTGATCGTTTCTATTAAATTGAATCTGCTGTGATTTCTTCATTCACTTTGCTATAAAAGAAAACTGGTATTCAGGGCGACCTGCTTATAGCTTTACTGAAATTACCAAGCATGGCTTTTTTTGTGTGTGATTATCTTTACAGTTACCTTCTTTCCTAGGTTTTCTTCCAGACTCCAAGGTACACATTTTAAATTTTCTTTTCTTTTAATGTTTAGTATGTATGGGACATCTAACCACACCTTTACATTTCATAATTTAGGAAATAAAAACCATGCTGGATTTGCATTTGGTGCCTATCATTTCTGCTTTTGATATTATTGTGCAGCTTTTGAAAACTGGGAGAGTACTTCCCTTTATCGTTTTTGCTGCCCTCTTAGTTTGGTTTCTGTTGCTGTGATAAAACACCATGACCAAAAGCAAATGAGGGGAGAAAGGGTGTGTTCATCTTAAACCCTCGGGTCACAGTTCATCAGTAGGAGAAGTGAAGGCAGGAACCTGGAAGTGGGAAGTGAAGCAGAGGCAGTGGAGGAATGCTGCTCCTGGCTTGCTTCTAAAAGTCTGTTTGTTTGTGGCAGGCTCTCACAATGTAGCCTTGGCTGGTTCGGAACTCATTATGTGAACCAGGCTGGCCTTGAATTTGTAGACCCTCCTGCCTCTACTTCCAGAGTGCTGGGATTAAAGGCCTGGCCCCACATGCCTGGCCCTCATACTGCTTTCTTATACAATCCAGGACCACCAACCAAGGGGCTAGGTCTTCCCACATTAGTTGTTAGTTGTCAAAAAAATGCCCCCAATAGAGTTGCCTACAGGCCAATCTGATGGAGGTTTTTTTTTGTTTGTTTGTTTGTTTTTAACTTGTGTTGACCAAAAAAAAAATTTTAACCAGAACAAATGCATAACTCCTAAATTCAACTGTGTGTATAATGCTTATAGTCAGTACATACAGTACTTAGAAAATAGATGTGTTATGAGACATCAGTTACAACTTGCATCTCAACTTAAACATGTCAATCTGTTTATCAGAGCTTCTAAATGGTCCTGTTCGTGAAAGAGCAAATCAATTTTATTCTCTAGGAGCTAGAAATAGAATAAGGTGCAGTGTAGTAGGAAGATTTCCTGTGTCCCACCCGGCCCACAGTTGGGACAAATCTCTCTCACCCAAAAGTCCTGCAGCAGCTTACAAAATAATCACTAAGAGGTTCAATATTAATTACAAACTATATGGCTTATGGCTAAGAATTCTTGCTAGCTAGCTCTTTTATCTTAAATTAACCCATTTCTATTAATCTATGTAGTGCCACGTGGCCATGGTGTTACAGTCTGCTAGCATGTTGCTCCTTGGGCAGCAGGCTGGTGTCTCCTCTGCCTCTGACTTTTTTTTTCAGTTTCTCTCTTGGATTTCCTGCCTGGCTATAATCCGACTCACCCTAGGCCAAAGCAGCTTCTTCATTAACCAATCATAGCAACACATATTCACAGTGTACAGAAACACATCCCACAGCAGTGTAACTAATGAGTCCAGAATATTTTCCTTCTGATAATGGTTTTTCCAGCTGATTCAAATGTTTTGAATGGTGTTGCAGTCTTTCACACATTTTTACTGAAGCTGTAAAGACTTAGGGACTTAATTCATGGACACCTATTTTGAAATGATAAGGTTGCTTAATAATCAGGAAGAAGTTCAACAATAAGTAAAGTTCAACAATAAGTAAAGTGTGTGTGTGTGTGTGCGCGCGCGCGCGCGCGCGCGCGCGCGGGCGCGGCGGCACATGGAGGACATTGAATTGCCTGGAGTGGAGTTACAGGTGGTTGTGAATTGTCAGATGTAGGTAGGTGCTACCAAGTGAATTCTTATCTTCTGTGAAAGCAGCAAGTGCTCTTAACTGCTGAGTCATCTCTCCAGCCTCTGAATAACATTTTAAATCCATAAAATAAACGATATGAGATCCCAAAGAAAAAATCAGTTTTTCTGAAATACAAGAACCAAAATATAGAAAATAAACGTGATGAAATCATATATGTACTTTTGTTAAATAGCAAGTTATAGTGTCATTTTCACAACTGGCATAATTTCAAAATCAAAATAAACGAACAAATTGAGAGACCTGCAACAGTTTCAATTTAGAACAAAATATCATCAAACTCTCAGCTGTTACTTCAGCTGCACCTTTTACTAGGGTCGACTATGTAGAGTTAGGGTTTTTTGTTTGTGTTTTTTCCTCATAGAAATTCGAGGACTTTAACATTATTCAGTTCAGTGTCTCTTCTGAGTAGCCGCTCTCCTGGCAGGTGTACCCACACAGATGCTGTGCTTAGCGTTTGGACATCCTCATCTTGGACTTCTGCGCAGGTGAAGTCCTGGAAGGCTGTCTAAGATTTCTAAAGATGGAAACAAAAGAGGTACTAGATCATTCATTGAAGTTTGAGAAGAAGAGCAAGCCCCTTGTCTTATAATCTTTCACTCTGTAATTTCTCTCTCTCGCCCTCCCTCCCCCCCCCCCTTCAATGTGCGGAGTAAATTAATCAGGGGAGTGCCTGTTCAGTCAGGTCTGTGGCCAGAAACCTCGCTGCTTCTAATTTGAAATCTGCAAGCCTGCTGTTTGGGTCCCGTGGGCCTCAGCACCTTGTCGGTTTTGTGCCCAATAGCTATATGTGTTGGAAGTAGAGGAAGATTATGAATACACAGGCTCCTGGAAAGAGTGGACAGACCTGCCTACATAACCCCAAACTCAAACAAAAATCAGGTAGAGGACGTCACAGTAACAAGTACACTACAGCTGAACACTGCCGTCCTTAAGAGTGGGGTGGATTTTGCGGCCGTTGAGTACAGAGGTCTTCCACCTGTTCTTGGTTGTTGCAAGCGGTGACTCTGCAACTGGCCTTCTGGGTGTTGGAAGTCCCGCCCGCCCGAGAGCGCGTCCCACAGTTTGTCCCTCTACAGCTCCCATAGACGGCGGGCTCCGCCCCTGCCCGTGGCTGCCGAAGTGGCGAGCTGCTTAGCTAACTACTGCGCCTAGACTAGCCCACAGCTTCTGCTACTGCGCACGCTCACCTATTCCCCCGAGTTTTCCCGCCCTTGATTGGTTGACTCTGCACCCATCTCTAAGCTACAAAAGTAGTTGCGTCCCGGCTTTGTAGGGCCAGGAACAAAGGGGACGCTCTGATTCTAACTTAGCTTGTCGGATTCTAGAGAAAGCCGCTGAAATGACGATTCCTGGAGCTAGTGGACAACATGTTGGCAGACATAACATTTCACTTAATCCATGTTCTAAACCCTTGGAGTTCCAGATCTGCAGGCAAGGCGGACGTCTCAGAGTTGCGCGCCCGCTAAGACTGGAAGACTCAAAGCTAGTTTTGGAGCTGGAGCCAACCATCAGGAAGGAGTGTGGGAGCATCACAACTAAGCTTTCTGGAAGAGTCCATTTGAACCCGAGTCATATGCAGGGGAATGTGAAATTAACAGCGGGAATATGAAGGTCCCGAGGGCAGAATGTTCCACTGTGGCTGGGTTAGAGACCTTGAGGGCGATGTAGTGTAAGTCAGTAGGCTTCCCTTATATTCATCTATCAGCAAGTCAGAAGGTCAGGGTCCTAGAGGAGGGCTGGTCTGTAAGTCCTGAGCTGCCCTGGATGGGGCAGGAGGAAGACAAGAGTTGATGCCTGAGTTTTTGTGACCAGCCCGTAACTCTGGCTTACAGGTGGAGGTTAGGGTTGTAAGATGGCAGGGCTATTTGAATGAATTTACAGGAGGAGAGCCTGGCAAAAGGTCATTGACGCTAAAAGCTTTATTTAACTCTTCAAGCAGAAAGCGGGTGTCCACACGTTTGACCTCCCCAATGACTAAAGTTAAATTGCTAAACTCACAAAAATGCAAAAACTCCTTCTCAGATATGATTCCAGCCAACACAACATTTCTATCTTCCGAAACATGCTCGATCCCATGTTTCCCTCATACCCTAAATTGTGGGGTTTAGAACACATGCTTTTAGACCTTTCTGAAGAATCTGAGAAGTCCTTAGAGTTCCCCACGACTGTACGATTGTTTGCTTCTCAGCAAGGCAGATGAGTTGATCAGCACGGGCTGGATAAAGCCAGATCCATGTTAATGGGTGCAAAGAAGGTCCGAGAATACAGCGGATCTCACTTTCCCTGTTTCTCAGGGCCTGACTGGATTTGGCTTTTCCGGGTTAGCACGCCCAGCTGGTTGCCATTGACTTCAAGGCGAGGCCACCCAGGAGGCGGTGCTCAGGCTTCCGGGCCCCGCCCCTTCGCGCCGTGGGCAGCAGCCAAACCCCGGTGCGCGGATCACGCGGGCCGGAGCCGCTCTGGGCATGCTCAGTGGCCTGGCAGGTGTGGCCGCCTCGCAACTCCAGGTCGGCCCCTGCCGAGGGGCGGGTGAGAGGGAAGTGGGCGGGGGCGCGGGCACAGTCGCTGGAGTGGCCGGCGGCCGCGGGGTGCAGGCCTGGTGGGAGCCCCCGCGGGCCGGGCCGGGATGAGCCATGGCATCGGTCAAGGTGGCCGTGAGAGTCCGGCCCATGAATCGCAGGTGAGTGGGGCCTCCCGCCCCCCACCCTCGCCACACCCTAACCCCGGGCAAGCCGGTCTCCAGCTCCGCTCACAGGCCAATCTGGATCTCAAAGGGACAAACTCCTGACCCACCTGGCCCTGCCAGTGGCCCTGGCGGCCCGGGGGAGTTAAGATCTCCCGCGTTGGAGGGGACTCTGAAGGAAAGTGTTCGCGAGGCTGGGGAGATTGTCACTTACAGTACTCATCGCAGTAACGTGAGGCTTGCTTGTTGGCCCTTTAAAAAAAAACACCAAGGGGCCACGTTCGTGAATTGAAATATTTGGGGGGGGCATGGAAGTGTGAGGGGTTCCCCGAGCTGCCAGGCACACCCCTCTTTTGTGCCAACTCAAGACGTCTCTATGAATCATGCCACTTTTTAATCTGGAGAGGATTCCCAGTCCCTGAACGTGGACCCAATCAGTAACTTAGTTCTGGAGGTTTATGTGGGGGATGAGGAAACTTCAACAAAGTTTTGACTCCTTGAAGGAGAGTCACGTGGCATGTGTTTAACTAATGCTGATGATGTTAAGGGGGCACAAATCGAGAACATGTTTAGAGTGCAGTCTCTTATGTTTTCCTACAAAGTAGTGCTTTGCAGTGTGACTCCCCTCTTTTGGCTGAAAACCTTTTTTCAGCGATTTCCTCCTTAGTTTAGAAAGGTATGTTGAGAAAGTTAACTTTTAAATGGGCTTAACTTCAGAGACTGAAGTACATCTAAGTGAATGCCCTCCGGGTTGACGGGCAGAGGTCACACAAGACCATTTGTATTTATTGCTGTTTCAGTTCTTGGACATTTGACTTGCCATATGCCTTTCTCCCTGAGTCATACTGTCAGTTTCTGGAGCTCAGTGTTTGTTGATTCTGACAGCTGATTAGGGCACCAGAAGATCGTAAAATCGAGGGATTTTACTAGTCTCTCTTGAATCTCTTTTCCTACTGGCAAGTAGAAGAGCCATTATCCTGATATATAACCATTAAATACCAGCGCTTTGGGAGGTCCATGAGTTGTGTGTGTGTGATTTTCAAGTTACTTCTAAAACTTTTTAGGGAGTTTGAGGTGTGTGTGTGTGTGTGTGTGTGTGTGTGTGTTTGTGTGTGTGTGTGTGTGTGTATGAGAGAGAGAGAGAGTCCAGTAGAATATTTGTTTCCTTACACACCCATACAATAGGCACCAAAGTCTTTTAGATGATTTTAAAATATTTTTCTTTAGTAAGGGTTTGCATTATAAAAAGTTCTCTTTTGGAATAATATGAACATATGCTAGAAAATAGTGTCAGATAACTTTAGAAAATACTTATTAAATATATACAAATGTACCACATGATGCTGGGCTGTGGAGTAGAAGGCGGATGAGGTGTTGGTAAGTGTCTTTTAGGAGCCCACTGGCTAATGAGGGAGGGATGATGACTCATGGACAAGACTGATCAACTTGGACCTTCTGGCAGAGGGGTGCTGTGAGTTCAGTGTCTTGTCAGTATAAGCCTTGCGTCCAGGCCCATGGAGGCAGGAAACAATTACAGAAGCCATATACCTTGAGGAGGCAGACAGATGGGATGTCTGTGCCCAGCAAGTAGTGCCAGTGGCACCGGGATTGGGAGAGAAGGTCCAGTTCAATGGGTGGAAATGGGAAGGTTGGGTAGACATCCCAAGACAGTTCCCTGGTAGACTTGGTAGAATCTGGCAGCTCATTGCATAGAAAGAAGAAGGAAGAGGGAGACTATTGAGAGGCATTAGCTGAAGTGTGATGTTCAAAGAGCTGGAAAGCTTTGAGGAGAGCATTCTCAGCCGTTCAGACATGCATGAAGTCCAGTAAGTGAGTTACCAACTCAGTGTCCAGACAGTGAGTGCTGCACGCATGTTTAACTTGTTCTTTGAAGTGTGGGAACGAGGACATCACGTTTCTTGCTTGAGGCGGTCAGCAGATGGTTGGAATCCTGGTTAAGTCTCCATGCTTCTGGGATGATCATGCGGAACTCTGTAGAGGAGAATGAGAGTTGGAGATTGGCTCTGCCTGTCTTTAGGTTTCCAGGGAGGAGAAGGGCTGGCTGCCATGGAAGTGAACCAGCACAGTACACTGTTCTGACAGGAGCAAGAGTCCCCGGAAGGCTGTAGCAGCTGTTGGTATCAAATGTTACAAAAATGGAGGAGGTCCTTGGTCCAAGTGGTGAGGATACCAGTAACTTTTCTTTTCTTTCTTTTTTTTTTTTTTTTGGTTTTTCGAGACAGGGTTTCTCTGTGTAGCTTTGCACCTTTCCTGGAACTCACTCTGTAGCCCAGGCTGGCCTTGAACTCACAGAGATCCGCCTGGCTGTGCCTCCCGAGTGCTGGGATTAAAGGCGTGCGCCACCACCGCCCGGCCGATACCAGTAACTTTTCTAAGTGTAGTTTCAGGATCCAGATGCAGAAAGTGGCGGTAAAGTATAAAGGGAGACGCCAATGGCAGCCTGAAGTATTTGACCTAATAATAAATAAGTCCACCGTGGTGATTGGAAGTAATTGGTTTTATCACTGCTCTGATAACTTCATTTGTAAAAAAGCTTAATATGTAGATCAGAGTTTTATCTACCAAGATGTGTTTATAAGGATGGTGTGGCAACAATAAAAAAAAATCATTAAGTGACCAGAATATGGAAACACAGGAGATTTGTTAAATTTGTTAAATTTGTAACTGAAGTCACATGGTGGAATTCTTTGCAGCTTGTATTAAGTGTGGATTCATTGTAAATGAGCTAACGCCAAGTTAGAAAAGATACACACACACACACACACACACACACACACACACACACATAGTAGAATAGAGTGTGTGTATATGTGGGTGAAGAAACTATAGAGAGCCAGCTTGGCCTATGAGGAGCAGTTTATAAGGGAGCTAACAGTGATGCCTCTGTGAAGGAAGATGGATGGCAAAGATGGAATATTTTTCTTTTTCCTCTCTTACTGTTTGAATTTTCACGTTCATGAATAGTTGTAGGATTAATGATTATAAACTTGCTTGTGTGATTTTTAAAAGCTACTTAGAGACATTGGCTCTGGCTGGGAAGAATTTCAGGTGATTGTTGGAGACAGCTGAAGGAAGTTGTTATTTATTTATTTAGTGGTTGTTTAAAGTTAATATTTCAAGTAAGAAAGCTTCAGGCTGTGGCACCAAAGGCAGAAAGAGGCTTGGAATGAAGTGAGGGCGCTCCTGGAGCCATCTGAAGAAGAGGGGCCAGTATGAGTTTGTCTGAGTTCTGAGCCTTTACAGCCCTCCGTCTTCAGTGTGTGAACATGATCCCAGCCATGTGTGTTTTTACTGCCTACTGGATTACATGGCAGGAGAAGCCATTCCAGATGCAGAGATCCTAATTCAGTATCTGACTTGTCTGTTTCCTGTTTGTCCTTCTTCTTCTTTTCCTCCTTCTCCTCCTCCTCCTCCTCCTCCTCCTCCTCCTCTTTTGCTTTATACTAGGAATTGGACGCAGGGCTTTGTACATGCATTTCAGGTTCAATACTACTGAAGTAGATGGATTAGAGCCTTGGTCATCTTTATAGTCCATATTTTGAGACAGAGTCTCCCTTTTTATTTTGGTCAGGTTGCCTAGCCTTGAATTCACTCTGTAGCTCAAGAGAGTATACTATGTGTCCATCTATCTGGTAGGAGCACCAAATCCTTGCACAACTTTTAGTAGTAGAGGAATATTGTTATGCTATTTTTACAGATTGGGAGGCAGTGCTTTGTAACACGAATTGCTAAACGATCTTTTTAGTTTTTCGAGATAGGGTTTCTCTGTGTAGCTTTGTGCCTTTCCTGGAACTCACTTGGTAGCCCAGGCTGGTCTCAAACTCACAGAGATCCGCCTGGCTCTGCCTCCCAAGTGCTGGGATTAAAGGCGTGCACCACCACCACCACCACCACCACCACCACCACCACCACCACCACCACCACCTGGCAGTTAAATGATCTTAATAAATAGACAAACAAACAAACAAACAAACAAATAAAACCCCAGAGCTGAAAAATCAGAGAAACAGAACAAGCCAGCCACGTTCTCAAGAGCGAGACTTCCTGTTTACTCACGCCTTGTATACCTTTCTGTGCCCTGCCACCTTCCTTCCTTCCTAGTGCTGGGATTAAAGTCATGTGTTCTTCCCAAATACTTGGTACAAAGGCGTGAGTTCTCAAGTGTTGGGATTAAAGGCGTGTGCCAAACCGCCTGGCTGTGTTCCCAGTGTGGCCTTGAACTTATAGAGTTTGGATGGATCTCTGCCTCCCTAGTGCTAGGATTAAAGGTGTGTGCCATCACTGTCTGGTCTCTATGTCTAACCTAGTATCTGGCTCTGTCCTCTGATCCCCAGAGAAGTTTTATTGGGGTGCACAATATATCACCACAGTACTTTAGTCCATTAAGGGTACTATAACAAAATATACAACCGGGTGCCTAAAAAACAACAGACATTTATCCCTTGTGGTTCTGGGAGCTGGCAAGTCCAAGCTCAGGGTACTGGCTGATACAATGTCTGAGGAAGGCACCTTTGCTATGTCCTCATATGGGTCAAGGGGAAAATTCCTTGGGCCTGTTTTATGAGGATGATAAACCCATTGAGGAGGGTTTTTGCCCTCCTGACTTAAAACCATGGCATTGGGGGTTGGTAAGGTTTTAGCTTCTGAATGTCAGATGAACACATATTGAGACTGTAGCACATAGCTGACTTGCCCAAAATAAGGGCCATACTTTAAAAAAAAAATGAGTAAGCCATTAGCAGACATAAAACTTTGCCCATGACTTTTATAGGCAGAAGTTTAACATTTTATACATTATATACGTTTTCCTTTGTGACTTCTTTTATTGTTCTGTTGATTTTGCCCTTTCTGTAATCTTATAGGTTCTATTTTTTATTTTTATTTATTTTTTCTTTTTCTTTGGAGATGTAACAAGCTGGGCATGGTGGCTCACATCTGTAATCCCAGCACTCTGGAACTCTGGAAGTTGAGGCAGC